ATTTAATCCAATCTTAAACTACCTGGCTTTTCCTTGTCACGTTGTGATGCATGTGTTTGAACGATTGTACATGTCCGATGTAGTATGATCTTGACGATGTTCTTATGAACGGACGACTGATGTTGGTGTGAATATGTTGTTGAGTTGGTGTTGGTAATGTCAGAAGGTCTAGCGTTGGTCTAGCATCGGCACATGGTGGAGGAGGGGTCGGCACTTGGTGGGAAAAGGGTTGGCATTATGTTAGGACAACGTCGGGGAGACGTCGGCACATAGTGGAAAAGGGGTTGGCATTACGTTGGTCCTACGTCAGGGGGACGTCGGCACATGGTGGAAAAGGGGTTGGCATTACGTTGGTCCTACGTCGGTACATAGTGGGATAGGGGTTGACATGACGTTGGTCATACGTCGGGGGGGACGTTGGCCCGATGTTGGCTTAATGCAGAGATGCCAACCAGTACGGATTTCCCGTAATTGGTACGGAAATTAACGACCATTACGGCAGTACGGAATGTTGTCTAAAAATTACGGATTACAAAAAAAAAAAAATGATTTTCTTTTTTTTTTTTAATTTTTTTTTTTTAATTTTTTTTTGCGCATAGGGATCTATCGTAGCAAGTGCTGTGCATTATGGTGGCCATCCATGAGAAAGATGGAAAAGTATCAAGTATTCTCTTAATAGAAGCCAATTTTTCATTGAAAACTTATGTGTTGTGATGAACTGAAAGTCAATATTTAGCAACTTTGTGGGAGTAAAATCACAAAAAATTTCAGATAATCATGCGCGCATGCGTCCGCCTGCCATTCTTTTTTGATTCATGACGCCGCATAGGAAATTACTGATTTATTCCCCAAATTACTGATTTTGAGCCTTATGATTACTGATTTTCTGTTCTGGAGGTTGGCATCTCTGTTAATGTCATTTTGTCACTGTCGGGCCAACGTTGGCCCGCCGGCAAGAAAGCCGTTGGACCAACATCATATTGGGGACGATGGACCAACGTAACAGCCCACGACGTCGGCACATGGTGGGATAGGGGTTGGCATAACGTTGGTCCAATGTTGGAACTACGTCGGCACATGGTGGGATAGGGGTTGGAGTAACGTTGGCCCTACGTCGTGGAGACGTCGGCACATGGTTGAAAAGGGGTTGGTATAACGTTGGGCCAATGTCGAGGAGACGTCGGCACATGGTGGGATAAGGGTTGGCATAACGTTTATCCAATGTCGGAACGACGTCGGCAAATGGTGGGATAGGGGTTGGCATAACGTTGGTCGTACGTCGGCACATGGTTAAAAAAGGGTTGGGATGACGTTGGTCCAATGTCGGAAAGACGTCGGCATACGGTGGAAAAGAGGGTGGCATAACGTTGGTTCAATGTCGGGAGGACATCGGCACATGGTCGGATAGGGGTAGGCATAACGTTGGCCCGATGTTGGCTTAATCTCATTTTGTCACTGTCGGGCCAACGTTGGCCCGCCGGCAAGAAAGCCGTGGGCCCAACATCATGTTGGCGACGTTGGCCCCACGTTGGCGTAACGTATTGTTATCTGGGTTTCTGCCTTCATCAGAAAATTTCCTTTTCTTCGCAGGTCTCGAAGCTAGTCGATGCCATATTGGTTGTTATTTCAAACAAAACCAAGGAGACAGTAGAAAGAATGTCCTAACTTTATTAGTTCTACACTGTACATCTCATTTACCACAGTGTAAAGGGTAGGGGACTATCCAGTTTACGATTAAGATTCATGGGAAAATTCAATGGCGGGAGGAAATGGTTGTAAGTTTCAAGAAACATTTGGCATTTCAAACATATGTCTTGATTCTCAACATTTAAATTACCGCCAAACTTGGGGCATGTATGTATCTTGCAGAGCCATTAAACTTAATATATTGGGGGTCACGAGGTCAAAGGTCACAGGGCTCATTATATATGCGAAAATAGCTCGTGCTCGGGTTATCTCAGGAGCCGATTGATGGATTACCGCCAAACTTGGGTCATGTTTGTCTCTTACAGAGCCAATTAACTGATTAGATTTAGGGGTCATGAGGTCAAAGGTCAAAGGTAATAGGGCTCATTATGTATTCAAAAATAGCTTGTGAATGCATTGTCAATAGAACTACCGACTGATGGATTACAATCAAACTTGAATTTTTGCAATGACGACCTTCGTCATTGCCTTGTTTTCGTTCACATTCTGCCCCATTAATATTCTCCTTTTCCTCCTTTTCCTTATCCTTATCGTCAGGAAATCGCATTCGTTTTGCACGTAATGTTTGTTATTCCTAGTTAGGTGCTTTCCTCATGTCCTTTTCCTTTCAAATTTCATAGGCATAGTCTGTAACATCCCTTCAAGGTCACTACATTCTTCGATTTTCGAAGTCACTCATGCATAACCGTCCAGGCGCCATTTTGTCCGTTTCTGGTCCATTTTAAGGCCTTTCTTTCTTCCTTCCTATCTCCACTATCCTAGATCCTATAAACTTCTAACAAATTCCTCTAGATAGTCTAAGAGATGTTCTTTAATCTGCGACGTATAACCTGCCCTTCAAAATGCCGTCTTCATACTCAAAATTCAAATCTGAAACCGACTCCGTCAACTATCTCTCAAATTCTTGAAAAATTGACCCCTAAATAATCTAAAACTGCCATAACTTTCTCATATAAATTCCGTTTTGCATTTAAATCTCACAGTATCTTTATCTCATAATTTCATATAGCCATGCCATATTTCACGCTCCAATGGCTTTGCACAACATAAATAGCGCCCTCTAAAGTTCTGGGAATTGGCTTTCTCTCTGTGGCCGTATCTCCATAATGGCTTGGCAAACCCGTACCCTTTTTTGGATTTAGATACTTGAAGATATGCCCTTTCCAGCCATATACAAAATCAGATACCCTATCACTGACCAAATTTGAGAAAATTGCCCTCCAAATTCGCCATTTTCAAGAAAATTGAGAAATAACTTCAACTTGCTCTAAACCAGCGATCTTTATACCTACATCAATGAAACTTGGCAGACACATGTATCCATATACGTGACAACTGTCTGTAAAGTTTAGTAAATTGTAATGCCCTCTTCGCCAAGTTATCGCCCAAAATGATGAATTTACTATGCTTTACGTAATAGCGCGTTTGATGCGTGCAGTACGTTTTGCGCAAATGACAATGGTTTCAAACTGACCGCAATGAAGTGCCCTTTCGAATGATACCAAATATAGTATATTTTCACACAGAAAATTGTGAGTAAATCGCATTGAACAAAGGTCACTACACGAATTCCGCCGAGTTTCCGCCCGAATCTAACACGTATCGGCTATGACGTCATTTTTTTCAGACTGCTTTTCGCCCCTTAAATGTCCTTTTTTTTCCTTGAAAATTTGCAGTTGCATGCCGAGTTCCAATACGCAGGGCACCTCTTGGCCGGATTTTTGAAATTGGTCAAGGGGGCCATTCAAGACGCCATTTTGTTCTATAAATCTATTTTACATCACGTGTTTCGATAGGATTATCATAAAAAAAAGAGAGTGGTTTACAATAACAACCATGAAATTCTCTTTCTAATGATACCAAATACGGCCCATAAAGAGACATAAAGAGAGAGAGAAAAAACAATTTAACTCCGGTCATAATACAGATCCTGTACGTTTTCCGGCCATGAATTACACGCATTGTCTATGGGGCATATCGGGTTCATGCTTTTGGCCCCCAGAACGATCTTCATTGCAATGACGAACATGCACCGAATCCCATTGGTTTTTGCACGCAGTGCTTGCGAGCCCTTTCTAGGTTCCTTCCCCTATCCCAATTTCTTTCAAGCTTCGTATAGGCATAGCCACTACCATCTCATCAAGGTCACTGTTGAGGCCTTTCTTTCGCCCTACCTATCTCCAATATCACAGAAGCTACAGACTTCGTACAAATTGCTCTGGATAGTGCGAGAGAAGCTCTTTCGTTTGACACGTAGAAACATGGCGTCATTGCACGCACATCGTTTTGAGACGATTGCATTTCTAGTTTAAATTGTTTCTGTTTTGGTTTGTAAAATTGCTATAAGGCAAAGGCATCATTTCTACTACACGCAATGGCCCAACGTATAAATTTACTCTTACTCATGTATTATACATTTGTTTCTATATTTTGTATGTATTGTTTGCATACCTTATGTTTTATATAATTATCCATATTTGTTGTATGACTGATTTGTTTGATTGCAGAAAATAAAGTCTTTGAAATGAAAAAATAAAGATTCATGTAATTAAAAAAAAAAATAATATAATATTTTTTTTGGGGGGGGGGGGGGGGGGGGGGGGGTGTTTTGGGGGAAAATCAAAAGAAATCACAATATTTATAAATAATTACATAGAGTGTAATTAGAAGAAAAAAATATCACTGAACAAAAACAGAGACTTTACTCTTGGACATATCATAATTACGGTAAGTCAGCAGCATTCTACACAATAACAATCAATTGCAAGATTGCAGATTGAGAAGTTGACTCGTAAAACTAAGTTCCCAGCCTCGATATACATGCACGATAGTAAAATAGTTCAATCAAAAGCCTCTAAAAATAACTCTGGCTCATGTAAACGCGTAACGCACCGAAAGTCCTAACCATAAAGACGTTAATGACCCCAGCTCATGCCCCAGTTTTTCTTGTGCGATAAACAATTTCTTTGAAACCGCACGTGGTGTCTGGCTAGTTGGCCTTGATAAAAGCACATGGCTGGGCATGGGTCACGGATTATTCGTAACTCAAAACTAAATACAGTTGGGCTGAAGTTTTAAAGGAGGTATAAGTATGGTACTCTGCTGTATGAATTGGTACGAATATGTTTGACGAATTGCCCTGTCCTTTTTGAATCCCTATATCATTACACCTCCAGGAGAAATTTGATCTGTATCCTATAGTTAGTGAAACTTTGGGAAGTTACGCGCAATTAAGGCGCTAATCGCCATGACGAGTAGCTATTTTCATCTCTATTTTGAATCTTTCTTCAAAGCAATAACTCCAATGCGACTTGACGAGGAAGACGTTCAACGAGACAGAATGGCTTCACTCCCAAACAGCAGCCGACTGGTTGACCAACCTTCAGGTGATGGGGAAGTACAAGAGAACTGGCTTGAGAATCTGCCAGGTATGTCCTTGATTAATTAAGTTATCGCTTTATATGCCACAAAGATTATCTCCCTGTCCAACATTGTATTTATCATGGGATAGATACAGTATATTTGAAGGCTTCAAGATTATTTAAATGTTTCCAGTACAAGATCAATCTTTACCAGTGTTTAAAAGGCAATCATGGAGCTAATCAAGACTGGAAATGTCTTTTTGTTGTAAAATCAATTGGTGTCTAAGGTTTTGTACAAATGAGCGACTGTTCGTAGATGCGAAGAAAGCAACCAAAGTGTTGTAAAAGTAATTGCTCCTCAATCCATCGAAACAATTTAGCTTAAGCTTGTCATAAAAAGAGACTAGTTTTTCAGCAATTCTCTAGAAAATGGTCAGAGCTCTATTAAGCTCCCTGTTTTCAATAACAACATCGTCATAATTAATAATGGTGATAATAGTAAAAGTAATGATAGAGATGATGTGGAGCTGTAGTTGAGTGCCCTCTCTACCAAACCAAAAAGATGAATTTGTCTACTTTATGGCCTTTTTATGGCTCGGTGTAAAAATGTCAGAGGTAAAAATGTCAGAGGAAAAAATGTCGGAGGTAAAAATGTCAGAGGTAAAAATGTCAGAGGTAAAAATGTCAGAGGAAAAAATGTCAGAGGTAAAAATGTCAGAGGTAAAAATGTCAGAGGAAAAAATGTCAGAGGTAAAAATGTCAGAGGTAAAAATGTCAGAGGTAAAAATGTCAGAGGTAAAAATGTCAGAGGTAAAAATGTCAGAGGTAAAAATGTCAGAGGTAAAAATGTCAGAGGTAAAAATGTCAGAGGTATAAATGTTAGAGGTATAAAAGAAAAACAAAAGCATGTGCCAAGTTTTTCCTCTTATATGCTTTGCTATATATCCTTCCGAACAGTGGTCAATGCCTAGGCAGAGAAGGCAGACTAATGGGACATGGTTTCTACTCCGAGTTTCGCGCCTTGCAAGCAGTCATCAGGCAACTGATAGCATTCTTAAAAGTACATGATTATCCTACAACCTTGGTACAAATACCCCTAAAATAAGACTTAACTAATAAAATACAATTGGAATTACTCATGAGTATTCTTATTGTATTGTATTCAGGTATTGTATTAGTCTTATTGTATTGTATTCAGGTATTGTATTAGTCTTATTGTATTGTATTGTATTAGTTAAGTCTTATTTTGAGCGTATTTGTACCAAGGTTGTAGAGGAATCATGTACTTTGACGAATGCTATCAGTTGTCTGATGATCGCTTGCAAGGCGTGAAACTCGGAGTAGCAACCATGCATGTCCCATTAGTCTGCCTTATTCAATATTTATATACCGGTATATTATGCTTTTGTATAAGCAAATGGTACTGGTACACTGAGCAAACTTCTGGGGGAAAAGATTTCTAAAATCGAGAAGTTTGGCCATGTTTTATAGGCTGAGTTGTCGCTCCATGGTGTAATCATTAAATAAAAAGAAAAGTCAGTACAGCCCACAAAATAGGATCAGATATCTATGAACCTTCCCCCCCCCCACTTCTCCTTCACTTTTGAAGATTGTTGGACATTTTAACTGCGTGGCAATGACTACTATTATATGTAATTTCCAATAAATGCATATTTCCGACAATTCCACTTTCTTGTGGGCTTGGTATTTTGATACTCTGAAACAAAGCAGAAAGCCATGTTATCAGTGCTAACCGCACCATCTAACCGCACCATCACATTCCCTAAGTGCGCACGTTGCAATAAAATATTGTCGATTCCTATTGCGGTATAAAATAGTCTGGGAAAAAATCAATAAGCAGCTTTGTTACTCCGATACAAAGCAGAAAGCCACCCATGTTACATCAATTAAAGAGAAGGTTCAGTTCTGGGGAAAGGTGAACAATAATGTGTGAGCGTTTGTTATCATTCTTATTATGCAAGTGTGGAAGAACATCAAAGAAAAAAGTTATTCCCTGAAAATCTATTTCAAATGACTTCATATCCCAGATATGACAAGTAGCCTAACAGCTTTAAAATGAGGCCCGATTTGTATGCCATATGTTTGTGTAGTCCCATATCAATATCTTTCTGTGTACAGTGCTTGTTACTTTACCAAGACTGGGCCAAAGATTTTATCATTTTGATGACTCCAAAACCTTGCACTACACACCAATACTTACATGGTTATGCTAGATGATCAACCTTTTCTGATTGCTTCCACACCGTTTCTTTCACAATGCAATCGCAAGAACAGAACTCAACTTTATCTTTAAATGCCAACCGCACCATCACATTCCAGAGAAGCGCGCGCTTTGCAGAGGTTTAGTTTAAATTACATCGTTATTTATAATCGTCGGAGAGTTTAAAGTGGGGATGAGCTTCTGAATCGAGACGGTCTTTTACTTTTTGGAGCGGGTGTTTAGTTTTCGGAGCGAGTTTTTACTTTTCGGAGCAACTTCTTGATTTTCTTATTCTTACTCCACTTCCTTTGCCGCCATGAGGTGCTAAAGCTTTAGCAAAGTTCGGGGCGCCCAGCCCTTATATGTAACTTTTCGTGATTCCTCGTGATTATATGTAACTATTTGTACTAAATGCACTACTCACTTTAACACTTGACTTTTGTCGAGAACTTTCATTTCTTCGTTTGGACTTTGTTCGTCTCTGGAACGTTACACGGGCTAGGTTGCAGGCTGCCACCGGCCAAACCGGTCCGTTTCACAAACATTAACACATCAACCAATTCAAAATATCAACAAATGTTAGACATTCATACATATATATGCAAGCATGATCACAGCAAAATAAATTTCAAAATCTATTTTCCACATTGTATTACCGTCAGGACATGTACGAAATACAACACACAGCCATTTATAAAATTTACATTATGGAAGAAAGGAATATAATAGACTAGCCCATGCAGTAGCAGTACGTCTCGACATTCTGTGTGATAAAAGTGCTGAGATATTATGACGGCACTCATTTTTTTTGCTTGTACCTCTGACATTTTTACGACTGACATTTTTACCTCTGACATTTTTACCTCTGACATTTTTTCCTCTGACATTTTTACCTCTGACATTTTTCCTCTGACATTTTTACCTCTGACATTTTTACCTCTGACATTTTTACCTCTGACATTTTTACCTCTGACATTTTTTCCTCTGACATTTTTACCTCTGACATTTTTACCTCTGACATTTTTTCCTCTGACATTTTTACCTCTGACATTTTTACCTCTGACATTTTTTCCTCTGACATTTTTACCTCTGACATTTTTTCCTCTGACATTTTTACCTCTGACATTTTTTCCTCTGACATTTTTACCTCTGACATTTTTACCTGGCACCCTTTTTATTACTCATATATCATAGAAATTATGGCAAATACTCCAGCATTCTAGGTTATTATGCATGTGGTGCTTTGTACAACGGAGTGGGTTTCATTTAATAATTTTGATTACTTTTTTCGAACTGGTTGGTTAATTGAATGTACATTTTTTTAAATGTTAAAGAATATTTATGACATCTGTATTGTGCTTAGTATGCTAATGTTTTTCAGTGCTTTTTAAGCCCTCCGTATATTGGATCTAAATATTTGGAGGCCAAGAAAAGCCGTTCTGCCTTCCTGAAATGCAACATGAGTTCATGAAATGTTCAGTTTTAAATCCCCCCCCCAAAAAAAAGCACGACACCATGACATTTTTCAAGAGGCCCAATGGAAGTGACGAAATTACTTCAAACCCAAAGAGAAGTCTATCTTGAAACACGTATGATCAGCTTGATATGAATAAAAGACAAAAATCACTGGTAACAAATGAATTTAATCCAAAAAAAAAAAATCCTTTTTGCAGTCACAAAGATGACTACAAATACCATCAGCTCTGTATCTAATTTTCATTTTTGAACTATTTTCCTTTCGTTTTCACTTTAAGATTAATCAGTGTTCTGTTTATTCAAATCCTTCAGAGCTCACCGAACTCATCCTGTGGAAGGTCAGTGAGGTCATTTCACCGCGTAGACTTATGTCATTGGGACTGAAGCTTGGTCTTTCTCAGATAAAGTTGAAGATCCTGCTTGATGAAAGAAGCACCATTTCCCAACAGGAAGAGATAACCTTCAAGATGCTCTACCAGTGGTACAATGACCAAGTAGGTGACCTGTCCAAGTTCTTCTTCAAGGTTCTGACAACAGACGCTGGCCTTAAACAGGAACAGGTCTTCAACTTGTGTAAGCTCCAAAGGTAGTGCTATAATACTGGGAAAATGGATGTACGACGAAATTCGCTAAACAGGGAATGGGATAACAAGTTTCTCTTCAGGGCGTTCCTAGAATGTAAAGAACATATGTAGGACCAACCTTTCTATTACAATATGAGAATGGGGGTAAAAAGTTTCTCTTGGTGATCCTGATGACTGACAAGGACCTATACTAGAAACAAGTCCTCAAATTGTGTAAGTCTAAGGGTAACTATAGATTATTTAGAAAGCATTTCTGAAATAATGTAAAGATGTGATGATGGATCAAATTTTGCTAAATAGAGAAAATGAGAATGGGGAAGACAATTTGTTATAAATGCCATGTTAAATATCTACTCTGAAAACAAAGCTCCCTGCTTTGGTACTACACTGTAAGATTAAAAGTGAAACAAAATCCATTGTGTTTTGGTTTCTTTCAGTTTTTGAGAAGCAGCACACATGCACAAGTTCGTCTGGAAGATCTTTCCAGGATTTTCAGTTGTGGGAAATAGCAGAGGAACTCCATGTAGATAAGCTGATCCCATTGAGTCTTCGATTAGGTATGACCTATGCAAGGATCTGCAGAATTCGAAAGGAAAGCAACCTTCATTCTGTAAATGTTTGCTACAACGTCATCATGCAGTGGCAGAAGGAACAAACATCTCAGACTGACCAGGTTGAAACTCTCGCCAGGATTCTGGACGCCTGCCACGAGAGAAGAAAAGCATACAAGATCCGTAAGTTTTCAGTAGATTCATGTTGTTCCAATGATTAATTTATTTCTTTTTTCAGAAGTGCAACGTCTAAAACACACATATTATTCTTGATTTCATATCCATTTTAATCATTTTAGACTTGATTGAAATATCTCAGAGAATCTACATTCAGTCTAGGTAGCATGGTTACATTTTGGTTGACCAAACAAGACTGAAAAATAGCAAATATATTTCTTTCATCATAGTGGACAGAGTGATTGTAGTATTAGAATGAGCAAAACAGCGAATAGATAATACAGGAGGTGGAAATATTTTGGCATCTACTGTACCTGAAACTAATGCAAAGATGTGTTTTTTAATCTATAGGCCAAAATCATTTGGGTGTCACCAATGAGGGGAAGACATTGCTTATCAGTGAAGACCAGCCTATGAAGGGAGTGACAGGTAAGACATTCTATATTCACTTTTACTTCGGTGTACAGCATTTGCTCCTGCAACAATAATCGTTCAGCATCTCTGACCAAATTCTTAACTTCATCCCTGGACCCAACATGATATACCTGTCTCTAACCCTAGAATCCAAAACCTAACTTAAAGCCCACTTGCAATCCCAACACTAATGCTATACATGTAATGAAGTAAAGCCAGGAGCAATTGTCGTGGTAGCAAATGTCTGGTCAATTTAAGACATTGCCAATATATAATTATCAGCCTATGAAAGGTGTTGCAGGTAAGACATTTTATATTTACCATCACTTCAGGAAGGATTCCAAGTCAGGATGTGCTTCTTAGATGTTTGATTCACCTATAGCAGAACTGCCATGATTGCTTCCCATAAACGTCCAATAACATACACATTATATAGTCCTCTATGCTATTTAATGACACCTATCAATGTTCTAGTTTTTATGTTGGTCTCTGTTTTGGGGCCATATCTTTCTTTTTTTCCTTTTTTGTGTAGAAGAACAAACCAATGCATTTGTTCAAGTTATGTATTGGTGATGAATCTTTGTATTCCTAAAAAATAATTTCATGAATTAAACTGACATAAGCGATGTTTACAGCTAAGCTTATTTTGATAACATGTTCTTGTTCATGAATGGTTCATGTTGTGTCTTTGTTTCCACAGAAGTTCAGCTCAATGTCACCCATTCCAACCAGTTGGTAAGAGAAGAAGCACAAGGTAAAATAAAAGCTCTCCTAGATGCCAGTTCCTCAGAGTTCAGTTTGGTCCCATCCACAGGAATCGCAGCAGATTTTCTAGAAGGGCTGAAGACATTCAGCAACTTGTGTAAGCGTCATTCAGACTTGATGAAGGACTTGGAGAGGAGCATAGGAAGGGATGAATTCTACAAGCTCAATGGATTGACTCATGATTCTATTCATTTCCATGTGAAGGTGTACAACATCGAAGGGCTACGTTGGCTTCAAAGTGATGTCCAAAGCGGGCGCATCGGACATCAGCTTGGAAAGGTGCTCATCTCTGAAAAAACCAAGCAGCAAGTTCAAAAGGAAATCGTTCTAGATGTCGCGCCGGAAGGAACTGGTGTTTGGGATCTACTTTCCCATGCAGTCATTGCCCCAATACTTCCAAGCTCTAGTCCATCAACATATTTTGAGAAGAGGGAAGCATTAAAAGAAGACCGAACATCATCGTCAGATCTCATGGCCCATCACGGACACCCAGTTTTCCAGGAAGCCACTGTCAGAAAGCAGATAGTCACTCAGGAGGAAGAAAATTGTGGTCTCCTAGCTGGTAGTTCTCCTCCGGTAACACCTAGAGAAGTTGCTTCATTGGCATCTCATGTATCAGTGAGACAGGAGAAATGTGGGCCAGAGGATGCTGTGGACAAAGAAAAAGAATCTCTAACAAGCACAGAGAAAGCATATACAGGTAAGAACAATTATATAAAAAATTGAGCTACTTGTCCCTATCCTTACATCTTTTACATTGAATTTGATTTTTTTGTGATTTGTTAAAAGGCACAAACTTTATTTCAAGCCTTTATCGGAACCATGTGTGTTTAATCTGTTGAGGAAACATAACTGAAGTAAAGGGCAATCCAACCCTTGTAAGAACTTCATTTGTATGAAAACAGAAAAATGAGACAAACAGAATGGTGAAAGTTGGAGATAAATTAGATCAAAAATAAGACAACTATAGGTACATTCTCCGATAAAGTGTGCAATTAGAGTTGTACAAATGACAAAATTTCAACATCAGAGATTTCATGAAACTCTTATGAATTAAGAAACTTTAGTGCCTTAAGAATACAAAACAATCAATGGGTGATTTTTGGCATCCAACATTAGTTCAAGAAATAGTTTCAAACACAATGATCCTTTTTAACATTTTAAAACTTTATCTCAAATACGTTACCAGTGGCAATATTTTAGAAAACCTTTGATATTCTGCTTAATTCATGCTTCAAACTGTCAACACCTTTGTAAAAGTACAAGCTGGAACATGTACAGACATCATGGAAACATTTTGTAGTCAACTTTGACCTTTCAGAAATAAAAATTAATGTGATTTGTGAATTATAGGTTAAAATATAAGGCAAAAACATATGTATATTTCTACCTGAAATGGGTAACGCTAAATTGAGTTTCTATCTGTAGTTTAATTATATCAATATAATGTAATTGAATATGAATGAAACGTAATGCACAGGTATTACGCTTGTGAGAGAAAGCACATGGCACGTGACATCTCTACTAGATTTCATAAATTATGGATGCAAAGAAGAATGGTGTATGGTAACGTATCTGACGCATCGGAATTCCCGTTTAACATACGTTATACAACTACAGACTGGACAACAATAAATGCACTCTGACTCATTTGTGTGACATCCAAATATGACTAAGTTCGTAAAAAGACTACCTCCTTCTAACCGTGAAGAACAACCTGTATACATTAAAGTATATATATTTCTACATATACCATGGGAATATTATGTAAAGTACGCTTGAAAACATTCAACCACAAAACAAGAGTGGTGTTCTGATATAGATCTGAAATGTTCAATTACAGACGGCGGCAAAAATGAAGTTGCAGGAAGATTTTCATGAACAAAATACTCTTAAATGTTGTTTCCCTATATTATTCTTGTACTAATAATTGTCTGAAGAAAACATAAACGATGGTAACGTATTTGACAATGCATTATTCTCAACATAATATTGAACGCCGAATAATTCAACAAGTATTTCGATTTAAAAAAAAAATGATACAAAATTTACTTACATCCAATCCAGTCCTATGTATTTTCAGAGCATAATTATACAACTCAAGAGTGCTCTTGACATTCACAATTTATTGTCAGATAAATTTCCGAATCTTTCGATCTCCCCTACTAGGGCTTTAAGACCACAAATGGTGGACATTCAACAAACGAATTCCTTGAACCTTACTTTGAAATGATATTTTTTGCAACACTAGCCAATCCTTCAATTAGAGTAAACTGTTCCGGGGTATACTGAAAGGTTCTCTCAGACTTTCCAAGCGGTGTTGGATGTGATACTACGGTAAGTATATCATCAAAGGGTATCCAAATTACATCAGGTGGATGTGGCCACTTGAAGGTTGTCGCCGTCTTTAATGTCTTACGGACCATGAATGTTATCTTGGCATCACGATCCGCAAGATCCACTTCCAACACCTTCCCCACGTACCACTCATCCGAGTACAACGCTGCAACTATTTGGTCAACAGCTGGTATGTTGTCCACGACACGACCTTCTTCAGCTGTTGGTTGATTATCTTCTACTAATTCATCTGCGGCCTCAGGGGACTTCGGTTTCTTACGTTTCAGACTTCAAATCATCCACCCAGCACACCTGTTTTCTCCCTTTAGGCAGTTGTCACAGTAACATGAAGTGTGTTTCACAAGCAGTCTTTGGTTGACGGGATGAGCAGAATGGACTTTCATGGTGCCTGGAATCGGTTGACAGTCCATGGAAGTTAGCATCTTTGACGCTTCGTCGTAATCTTCCTTTGAGTACATCACGTACGTGATTTCTTTCTCGTGTGAAGACGCCCACCCAAAGAAATCACTGGCATCTTGGATGACCACCTTGCCCTGTTTCACTGCATCTGATGCTTGCCGTTTCGCTGTCCCGCCTACTCCATCACAAACGCTTTTGCCATGACCACACTCGAAGTAGTCCCAGCTAGCGCCTACACCGAAGATGTCATTGTGTTGGCATAGAGTGTTGAAGATGAACCGATTTCGATATTGGGAGGATGGACTATCCGTCCAGTAATGGATGTTCGCCAAGTAAGGAATATGTTCTCTCAGGAGGGGAACAAGCTTCTTTAGAATGGCAACATCAGTCCTCGCATTGTGATCCCCAACTTCAGAAACAAATACGAAACTCTTGTGTTGTAGTTGCCCATCTGCGTCTCTGTAGTATGTCACGACCGGATGAAGCGTTACACTGGTGCTGTTCCAGTACGCGCTCTGGATTTCTTCTGCACTCTGGCAGACAACATTTTCTGCGAAATCCATCTGGACAATCGCATCATGAGGTGGCAATCTCTCCTTTAAGTCAGTCAGTGCCTTGTACTGCGCACGTACCCTGTCTACGTGACCGAGGAATGAAGCATATTCTGTTCCCATTTGCTGGACAAACTCCGCACGGCACTTCTGCACCCTAGCAATCCGCATCTTCTTGTAGCCATTAACATCGACCTTCTGCCATGATTCATATTCGACTTCTTTTACGTTTATTGTGGACAAAAGTTGGGTCATCTTCTCATTACTTACAGTCTTTGCTGCAGTTTCTGGGTTTGGCAAAATGTCTAATCCCAAGTCATGGACGCTCTTTAGTTTAAATGCCATATTCTGATGTATGGTACAGAGGCAGGTGTTTCTAGACAGGACCGACGTTAGTTTAACATGCAATGGACGAAGCTTGCAGAATTTGGAGAATGAAACCTTCACATCAGGATTGTCGCAGCAGAACTTATCGTAAGTATTGCGCAAGTAATCAGTCAGTATGCGATTCTGCACCTTCTTGGTGGCATCCCTTTTGCCAGGCATACATCGGCTAACGTCGTCTCTTTCAAAGAAAGAAAGAACTCTCTTCTGAACGGCAGTCACCCTGCGTTCTCGCAGGCATCGAACTTTGGATAAGGTTGATCGACTGATCCCTGTTTTTTTGTGGAGCACTCTAACGCATCGGTACTTTTTGACTATCTTTCCTGATATCGTACCCAACAAAATCCTTCTCTGGTCTTGTTTTGTAGTGTCCTTTCGTTTCAGTCTTATTTGGTCCGTCAGGACGTTGGCAAACAGCAGCTTCTTGCGCACTGCTTGAGGCAAAGCATCCTGGTCAGACCAGCTTCTCGTAGTTCTGATCTTGTCTTACTTCTAGGAGTCATCGCTGCTAGCGGAGGAGTGGAAGATGATCCTTTGGAATTCTTAGCAATCCTCTGTAATCTTTTCTGGAGTCTTTTCACACGTTTCTTCAGTTCGATATTTTTGGTGGTGGTATCTTTCAGCTGTTTTTGCTTGTCTCTTAGAGCTTTCGACCTTTTTGTGGTGGTGTTTCTTTTTGCGAACGCAAACTGGATTAGCAGTGGCGAAGAACGAGAAGATTGTGAATTTCGTGTCGCCCTACCATGAACTTTTGATTCTGAAGACGTACTGGGGGCTCCATTACCCGAGTGTTTCCCCTTTTTTTCCCCGGTATTTCATTGAGTACAGTCTGTTTTTACGCCGTTTTGCTTCCAACTTTGCCTCATCTTGCTCAGCAACAGGGACGCGATAATGACGTTGTCGTCGTCTCTCTCTTTCTAGAAATGTTGCATCGTTTCTCTTTTTTCTCTCTCTGTATTCTCTCTGAATTTCAGCTCGAGTTTTCCGCATTTTCCTGAAAATAGCGCAAAAAAGAAAGGAAATACGAACAAGGAAGGTTAGACTAGATTTTATGATAAATTATATGACAGATAATACTTATAATATATATACGTTGAAGCCATTGTAAGGACCCACACAAGACAAAAGTGGTCTTACATGTTTGAGGACTTGAGCTGCACTGCTAGATTTTATTACAACCACAAAATGGCTGCCAAGATGGCTGACATGCAGTCAATGAAACAATAATCACCAATCACAAGATTGGACAATAAGTAAGTAACCAATAGAAAAGCTTGTAAAAGATAGAGTGCCATGTGCCATGTGTGCTGGGTTGAATAGCTAAGAGATAAGGAAGAGTGTGCGTGTGTGTGTGGTGCTATAGCAGGTAATGTGAATGAGGATGAATGAATAGGGACAGAACAATAGAAGCCAAGAGCTAGCAGACATGAGAGAATGAATATAGGTCAGAAGTGCACTGAAGCATAACGGAGTGGAAAGCTAAATGTACAGTGTAAAATAAACAAGTAACCACTTGGATCAGTAAAATTAAAACCTTACATAATATTTCATCTTCACAGAAAAATGTCCTCATTTTAAAAGATACTTCGTATTAACATGCATTTGTTTCCGAAGAAAAATGAGTCACATAAAATTTGCTTGAAATACCTGAACAAATCAAATCATGAAGTTTTCCTTCTGTACAATTCCCTTTTTTTTTTTTTAAGAAATAGCATCTATTCATATTAGGGAAAATTAAACTGTTTAAAATGAAAAGGTCACACATATAGCAAATACAAGAAAATGGTATGCTTTCATCAATGAACATCTTCCAAACAACTTCCTAACTTCAATGGGTTCTATCCTTTCTCACCCTGAAAATTCCAGTCTAATCATCTGTAGACATACACATTGAATAATTTCCCTTCTTTATTTTTGCCCTGTCAGTAATGACAAAATATCAAATATTTCATATGCAATTTGGCAATTTTCCAAAAATTACCCCAAAAAAATGTACATGGCAATGTCTTCACCTAAAAAAATATCAATGTTTTGTGAATCGCTGTTAAAAATTCTTTTAAAATAAGTTAGCCAATTGAACAATGAAATACAATGTACACAGAGAGAATATGCACGCATTCTGATATATAACTCTTTCAAAACTGTCTCAGATTTAAGGAGACATTATACAAATACAGTGTCTATGGTCGATATAATCTCGACTAC